CTGAAAAAGTAGTGATCAAGACTACTTAAAAAAATAGAATTTCTGCATAAAAATAAATTTATTATTAAAACTGTTGTATCTGAAATAGTACGTTTATCGATGAAAAATTCATTAAGATAACTATTGGAAACCAAACAGCATTTTTTTAGGTTATTATTCAATTTTTTTAAATTTAAACGTTGTAAATATCTTTTATAAAATAACTAAATAAAAAAAAAAAAGAAAAACCAATACGAATACAACTTTGGAGAATAAGTTTAAAGTAGTTTAATACTTAGTCAATACTTTCAATTAAGTAGTATGAGAAAAAGAAAGTAGAAGCACGTTACAATAAAACCTTAACTTAGGTACAATAATACGATCAGCAAGCGTGGAAGCACGACTATATCTTATAGAATGGACAGTAGCAATGATCGTCACTCTTTGTAAAGCTGCTTTTTTCCCATTAGCTGTAAGAGTGCAGTGGCACGAGTTACTGTCAACTCTAATAAATAAGTAATTATTAATAAAAAACACAAGCACCTATCACCCGATGGTCCACAGTGCTTGATGGCCACTCTGTTAAATAATTTATTATTAATAAATAACACAAGCACCCTTCAACCAACGACCCGGGGTCCTTACTGGCCACTCCAGTTAATAAACAGTCATGAATAAATAACACAAGAGTCGATAAGCTATGGCGGTTCGAGCACAGCTGTGCTAAAACCGCCTGGCGGTTGTAGCACATCCCCTCTTTGCTGCCATAGTGGCCTGATCATTTGGGGGTACTAGCGTCTGTCGCTTATAGCGCTGTGAGCGCGATTAATTTAAATTTGCTGATGTGGAATGGTAAGTCTAAATGTAAGAGCAAATAAAAATGACACAAGTATTGAAATAAATATCGAAAATTCCAACTGCAGAAGCTTATTGAATGTTGCAGGTGTGGAATTATAAGTTTAAATGTAAGTGCACATAGTAATGTAATGAACAAGTATTTAGAGTTTAAACTGCAAATTTAATAAGAAAATTTTAGCACTGGTTTTTCGCGAACAATTTGAATGTGCAAAATCTTGCGCAGCTTGTGCACATGATGGATATTAACATTCTTTTCTTCATGCGAGTGCGTTACGTGATAATGTGGGATGTGAAGCGGTAGGAAAAGAAATTGTTAAACATTTTTGTTTCATTTTGCTTAATCATTATAATAAAATGAAAAATGTACATTTATAAAACAAGACATGTAAAATACGCATAATTTACAAAAGGATCTCATGAAACATTATATTCTTCACGTATAATACTATCTCACAGCTTTTTATTGATTAATTAATTTGTTACTTCAGTCAAATGAGAGCCTACGACATACTTTTTTTTCTTTAGGTCCACTTAGAGCACTCTCGCGTCTTTTTTTCCCACTTATACAAATCATCTCATACACAATTTCCGGGCTATTATCAAGAATTATGGGCGATGTTGAGCAGGTTGGAGAAGGTGTTGTTGCAAAATTCACAACAGGTATTGTTGCTAGATCTATAACAGGTATTGATGCGGCAGTGGACGATGTTGAGTAGGTTGAGACAGGTGTTGTTGTGAGATCCACAACAGGTGTTGAGGGAGCAGCGGACGATGTTGAGCAGGTTAGGATAGGGGATGTTGTGGATATCTTTACAGTTAGAATCGATACATCGATGACAGCACCTATTGATGATGCAACTGCTAAGTCAATTGGTGAGCCCCACTCGAACGTGCTGAGTGTCTCCAACTTTCGCGTGTCTGAAAAAGTTGGAGATGTTGCCGGTGCCGGCGTCCCCAATTCTTCAATAAAAGAAGAATGTGGCGAAGAAGTGTTGAACTCATCTTCTGAAAAATAATTTTTATTTTTATTAGAAATTGACAACAACTCCAAATTCATTATAATTTTAATGAATACTCACCGAAAATATTTCTCATTATCGATGGCGACAACTCCTCAAATGGCAACGGTGATGGTAATTGTACTTGCCTTACCGTTTCAGCAGTGCATATAGACCATAGAGAGCAAGAAATAAAGTCATCCTCAAAATCTTAAAGATGTAATAAATAAGGATTATCATGAGTATTTAAGTTTAAATTAAGCTTTCATTTAATAAATACTTACTCAAAAATCCAACCATTTCCGAAGGTTCGACTGCTGACACTGCTACCAGTGAATTGGCTTCTACTGCAGTGAGCGTCTCAAACTATCTCGAGTACGATGAAGCCAAAGATAGAGGCAATTCTTCTACAACAGCAACGACAGGACCATTCGGTTGTGGAGGAAGAGTAAGAAAATTACCCTCTGAATCTAAAAATATTATAAAATTAGAATTTTTAACTTATGATTTAAATTTTTATTCAAATAAGTTCTTACCAAAAAAAGTAGTTGGATCTGATGGTGGTTGCTCGATTGGTTGCCTTTCCGTTTCATTAGGTACCGCGTCAAACACCGTAAACAAAGACGTTGGTGAAACAGGTGACGAAATGGTTGAAAAGTTTTGCCATGGTGAAAGTGGAAAATGATCGTCTTTATCAGAATCCTGTTCAAACATCACGTCCGTTAAAGAAGCCAAATCCTCCAATTCCAAACATGCGGCATCACTCATAGATTTTTCCATTGAATGTGTAGGTGCCATTCCAATCGACACTGAGATTTTCACTGGATGTATATTTTATCACAATGAAACTATTTTTTAGACTGATGTTTTCTGAGCACAGCTCGCCTTTATAAGACGTTGAAATTTCACATGAAGTATGGGGGGAAGAAAAACTGCATTACGCATACCCCTTCTTACGTTTACTCATATTTTCTCAATATTAGAATAATTGTCTAAACCAATAGGAACTCTAGAAAGGGCACAATAATCCTTTCTACCATACCTATCTCTGAACTACATCCTCCCACTTCATTGCATTAGTTACTTCAACCAATAAGAAAGTTAGAAAAGGATAACAATAATCTTGGTCACTCAATTCACTTATGCAAAGTGAGGGAAGTCGAATCTGCGCATACAGAATATTTTCTGCTATACGTCGATGACTCTTCCCTTCTTAGCCAATATGTTAAGGAGAGTGACCATGAACTTCACCTCTTGCCATAGTTCACTTTCACATCAGCACCAGTGGAGGATCCAGCAAGTTCAACATTAACAAGGAGTACAACGCATCGGTCAACGCTTTCACTCTTCAAGGTATTTTTAAAATCGTTTTTTTCTGTATTCGGAAATGTTTTTCTGTTTGCTCCTAACAAATTTTTTTTTTTTTTTCATATCATACATCTTTACACTAGTTCTAATTTCAAGACGCAGCAATGATGTCTTTACTCGAGACGCAGCAATGATGTCAATCGAGTTTTTTTTTTTTTACTCTTTCCACAGATATGATGAAAAGAGTTCTATAATCATTTACTTTTCTTCATTTCTTTCGTTTATAAATTCCATATATACTTTTAAGCTTTTAGAAATGTAGCGTTAACCACTTAATATTTTAGAAAACATGGTGGAAAAGAAGAAGAAGGGTGATATCAGAAGATACCAAGAACGACTTCTGCGTAGAGCCTTAAGTAATTTTGTTACAAGTTTGGAACCACCAGCACCCAAAATGGATAATAATAATGTGATAGAAACGCCAGAAAGTTTCAAGGATTATTATGCAGAGGTAAAACTATCAGAACCCAAAACGTTGAATGACACTATGGTGGTAGCAGCAGTAGAAAATGGTGAAATTCAAATCTTTTTTTTTCATACTTGAAATTTTTTACTTTTTTAATTTTCATATAGTGCATGCACGATTTAACTTTCTACTCACTACGCAAGTAGATTANTGCTTACATTTCAAGATATGGCATGTTTTTTAATATTTGGAGGTTACATTGTGTTATAAAAACTCGTCAAATCAATACTGGCTTTTTTTATCGATCTTTCGTGCATGGAAAATTTTTTCGATAAATTACTTTATTAAATAAATAATATAAACTAGTATAAGTGTATTTGATACACACATATACGTGCGAATTCACTCAATAGGCAGTATACACACACTTACATTTATGAACACTATCATACACAAGAACACAAGCTACTCACACACACATACGTGTATAAATATGTGCATACGCTACGTCCACGACAATATGCATTCATAACAGAATATACTGTTTCTATATTTGTAGCGGTATCTAAAGGCGAACGATGAGAGTTATATAAGGTTATTTACTTATTTTTTTCAACACACTAATTTTTCTGGTACATAATGTACTGACCCCCTCAAATCCTAACTTGCGAGTAAGTAGTGTACATGGGTGCCCTAGCAAACTTTTAAGGGAGTTGTATCGCACTCAAGGGGGCTAAACACTAAAAAAAAACAACTGCTGGTATAACCGACGCCAGCTACTAAAACAGGAGTGGCACCACATGCAGTTAGGTGCACAGCTATTTTCCATAGCTAGCACAAGTCATTTGTACTGTTGTGCCCTGAAAGATTTTCATGTCTTTGCATGAAATTTTTCTATGAATGAATTTCTTGATAATTTGCTGTCTCCTTAGGGCTCATCTTATTTAATTCAAAAATTTGAAGGTTTGAGGACTCATAACATTGTTAATCGCGCGTTATTGAGTTTTTGAACATTTCGAATCACAAAAGGTAAATATAATTCTTATCATGATAAACTCATGGTCCATAATTTGTTTATTGAAAAAGATATTAAATGTAATCTTCATCATTGTAAGCTAGATTTAGTGATTTAGTGCTCAATAAATGATCTAAGTATAATCGTTATTAATATTTCCTGTAGACCAAATTTTCATTGACGAATGAGCTTTGGTGTCAAGTAGTCAGAGTTTTATTTTCATAAACATTTAAAAAAAAAAAATATTGTTTGGGCAAAGAAGCTTTGACAATCAGTAAATAATTAAATTTTATTTTGTCAATATATTTAAAAATAATGTTTAGGTTATCCAGTTTTGGAGCACATAAGTAGCTAAAGTATCATTTTTTTGATTCATCCTAACGAAAATAATATTTACCCAAGCAACCACCACTGCTAAATGAATAACATATCTTTCAATAAAATATTACCTAAAATATTATGAGGTAAGCAATTGGTGCTCACTGGCTAAAGCATCATTTCAATTAATATTATTTACTAAACATTTCAAGCAAGCAAGCAGTGGCGATGAATACTTAAATTATTATTTAAACTAATTTTTTCCATATGAATAATAATATGTCAAGCAATCCTTGCCACTGATATCAGTTTCATAAATATTAAAAAAAAATTTTTTTCTCACGAATTTATTGATTTTTTGTAATTTGTTAGAAAAAATTGTTTCAACAATTTCTGACCGCATTTCTACCTGGCGAACTGTACTTTCCCATACAGTAGCACATTTTAAACAAGATG